GTTACAGTGCATTTCTCTCTGAAATTCTGAGGAAAATGGGTCGTTCCAGACATTGTTCAGAAGAACAGCGTACCTTGATTAAAAAGTTGATTGGAGAGGGGAAAACATATAAAGAAGTGCAGAAAATGATAGGCTGCTCAGCTAAAATGATTGCAAATGCTTTAAAATGGCAACCAAAACCTGAAAGATGTGGAAGAAAGCAAAAAACTACCATTCAAATGGATAGAATAGCCAAAATGGCGCGGACTCAGCCAACAATCAGTTCCAGGAAGATCAAAGAAGGTGTAAAGTTCCCTGTGAGTTACAATTAGAAGACGCCTATGTGAAGCCAAGCTATCTGCAAGAAGCCCCCGCAAAGTCCCACTGTTGAAAAAAAGACGTGTGCTGAAGAGGTTACAATTTGCCAAAGAGCACATTGACTGGCCTAAAGAGAAATGGTGCAACATTTTGTGGACTGATGAAAGTAAGATTGTTCTTTTTGGGTCTAGTGGCCGGAGACAGTTTGTCAGACGACCCCCAAACACTGAATTCAAGTCACAGTACACTGTGAAGACAGTGAAGCATGGTGGTGCAAGCATCATGATATGGGGATGTTTCTCATACTACGGTGTTGGGCCTATTTATCGCATACCAGGGATCATGGATCAGTTTGAATACATCAGAATACTTGAAGAGGTTATGCTGCCTTATGCTGAAGAGGAAATGCCCTTGAAATGGGTGTTCCAACAAGACAACGACCCCAAACACACCAGTAAACGTGCAACATCTTGGTTCCAGACCAACAAGATTGACGTTATGGAGGGGCCAGCCCAATCCCCGGATCTTAATCCAATAGAAAACTTGTGGGGAGACATCAAAAATGCACTTTCTGAGGCAAAACCAAGAAATAGAGAAGAACTGTGGAATGTAGTCCAATCATCCTGGGCTGGAATACCTGATCACAGGGGCCAGAAGTTGGGTGACTCCATGCAACACAGATGTACAGCAGTTCTCAGAAACAGTGCGACTACAACCAAATATTCATGAAGTCATTCAAAGGAAAGCAAAATCTTCAAACATTTCTCAGTTTATATAGTGAATGTTTGAGTTTGTAAAGAAGAATACAAACACTGCTATTTTTTTGAAGTCTAATATTCACTTTTCTTCAATTTTTTTAGAGGAACAACACAGATTTGATCAATTGTTCTTCATGTTTTGATTTGGAATAGAATGTGTTGTGTTCCCAATGCATTTGTGTGGATTGAAATAAAAGCTATTAGAAGGATTTTGAGCTTTATTCACTTTTTTCAACACACTGCTATTATTTTGAACACAACTGTATATTGTACATTCACATCAGTCCCTAACCCTCAAGGGGGTACAATCTAAGGTCCCTAACTCACATTCATACATACACATACTAGGGCCAATTTAGGCAGGAACCGATTAACCTACCAGCATGTCTTTGGAGTGTGGGAGGAAACCGGAGTACCCAGAGGAAACCCACACAGGCACAGGGAGAACATGCAAACTCCAGGCAGGTGGTGCCATGGCTGAGATTCAAACCAGCGACCCTAGTACTGCCAGTATTTATTGTTGTGTCTATTAGAATTTTTTCAATCTAGGTGGAAAGTCCTCTTTAAATCTCTTTTTTGTTTACATTTGTTTTCCAGTTAATTGTATGCATGCTATTTTAAATGTGTTGATCTTTGCGTATTCATACTTGATGCCTTTATCTGGATTTTAAGACCTTGTATCCCTTTATTATTGTTGTAGTTTGATCTGAACCACTGGCTGAACTCTGCAAAACCTTCCATGTCTGAACGCAGCAAGCTGCTTGAGTCGGTGCACCTGGCTCTGACGCTGTGTGGCTTGGAACCGGAGGAGGAGCTGCTGATGCCCTTTAATATTTTCTGCAAACACTGGAGCTCCGTCCTCCGTTATCAGTTCCCGGATCACTACAGCGATTGCTTGAGGCTCCTCATGCAGAGTAAGTGGCCTTCCTGGATGGTGGTCTCCTGCTTGACTGAAAGTCACAAACTCTTTACATTGTGAATGAGCCGTGCATCAGTGTTATGTTCAATGCCTCTCTGGGGCTCATACCTGGATGACAGGCAAAAGACGGAGGTATTTCCTAACAGCAACCACTGAGAGATTTGGTTTTGTTTCCTTACCTGCACTACAAACATTGTAGCTGAAATTTGATTGTAGCTCATAGCCAGGGGCGGACTGACAACTCATGGGGCCCCCGGGCAATAGAGGATCATGGGGCCCCTGTGTCCTTGCCCAAACTCAAAAAAGCCTATGAAAAAGGTACCAGGGGCATCTCATGGGGCCCCCTACTGACCTCGGGCAGTGCCCGAGTTTCCAAATGGTCAGTCCGCCCCTGCTCATAGCTACTAGTCTAAAAACCACGTTTGATCTGGACATCAGATTACAGCTACCATTCTCATAATTATGTATCTATATTGTGAAAGTATTCCCCTCTCTATCTTAGCCTTTTTTTTAAAATTTTTTTATTCCTTTACTCTCTTCCGTCCATTCTCTTTTGTTCTTCCCTTCTCAATACTCCCATCTTTTATATTCTGCTCTCTTTTGTGCCCTTCCCAAAGCTATGACTCCTCTCCCTCCAGTTCTCTTATACCCCTCTGTTTCCCTTTCCTTTTTGTCTTCTTTAACCTCCACTTCCATTGCTTCCTCTTTTTTTTTTTTTTTTACTTTTTGCCTTATCCTTCCCACTTTCTATTTCCTTCTCCCCAATCCCTTACCTTCTGTTTTTTTTTTCCCATAGCACCCCTTCCCACTCTTTACCTGTCCCCTATAAATTGCAGGCAGCATGGGACAAAGCTACAATAATAGCACAAATGAGAATTTACCGGGGTGTCAAACACTCAGTGTTGATTAAGATCGGAATTAAATCTGAGCTCTGGTTCACAAAAACTTTAAATATATCCCTCAATAGCCACAAGGAATACAAGTCTGCCTTGTGTGTACCAAATGTGTTTGCAAGCCCAGGTATTGGCATATACAAGAAGCAGTGACATCATCACTGGGTGCTGGGCTGCTGTTAGAAACCACAGGGCCCCATACAGGCAACCTGACAGCCCCCCCCCCCCCCCTCCCAAAAAAAACCCAAAACATAGTTTACTATGCTCCAAGTTATGAATGAACACAATGAGTGATTGTGCTGTGCTCAATCCGAAATGAAAGGGGCTGGTAAATATGACATTTACCAGACCCTTCCCCCACTCTCCATCCTGCAGGATCCTCTTGTGCACTTGCTTCTGCCGGTGGAAAGGAGACGAGTGAAGCCAGAAGAACTGCAGGGATGGGGGCACACGGGGGGCTGGGAAGCAGGGGGAAACATATGGTGCACAGGGAGGGTGATGGGTGCTCCGGAGGGGCAATTACTGGAACCGATCCCTTGTATGGCTCTCTCTGCAGCAGCTGAAAGATAGTGGAAAGGAGAGGAAAAGGAGCCGGCTTTCTCCTGCTGCAGAGAGAGCCATACAGGTGTTCAGTTCCAGTAATTGCCCCCCCCCCACTGTGCTGATCACCCTCCCTGCCCACATATGATTCACCCAGCTGCTTGGCCCCCCTTGCTGGCTGGGGTCCTGTACAAAAGGACTGGTGGTACCCCTTATTCACGGCTCTAACTGGGTGTTACGTAACGTGAGCAGAGCAGCAGACCCCACCTACTACAGGCTGTCTGCAGAAAACTACAGGAGGGGGCGGAGACAAGACCAGTCACCCTGCACAAGGAGAGAGAGCAGCAGTGACTAGTCTTTATTACAGGAAGCTCTGCCACCACGATCCATTAGCTGTCAAAATGCTGGTAGGTTTCAGCGCGTGATGCCCTATCCTAAGGCCTACCTTACACTAACCATCCCCAATACTAAACCCCCCAAATGTAAACAGGGCCCCTTCTGACCTCTCCTACACCGGGGTCCTTTTTATCCTAAAGCTCCTCTACACCTAAAGTTAACATCACAGAATTCCTGATGTCAGAATTTCCTGATTAGACCCTCTATTGTATTCAACCTTTACAAAGGAGTGAGGGCAGTTTAGTAAAAATCTTATAATGATTTTTAAATATCTTTTCTTTCAATATCTTTCAAAGAACCTTTGTGACATGTCCTGGTTTTCTGTGTGGTACACAGGTTCCTCTGAACAGCTTCTGAGTCCTGAGTGCTGGAGAACGTCATTGAAAGCTATTGGATGCTACAGCCCCCGAGTCCCCCCGAACAATGTGAAAGTGGATAACAAAGACCCTCTCGTGTTTCCAAACTGCACCAATAAAACAATGTTATCAGCTGAGCAGGTACTATTATTATTATACAGGATTTGTTTACCACCAACAGTATGTTTTTACAATACCACTCAGTACCAGAGGGTTAGGAGGGCCCTGCTTGTGAGAGCTTACAGTCTCCTAGGGAGGGGCAAGTGGTACAAAAGGGGAATAACTCTGAGGGATGAGCTGATGGAAGAATGAAGTTCAGTTGTGAGGTGGAGGCAGGATAGGATTCCCTGAAGGGATGAGTTTTCAGGATTTGCCTAAAGAATGGGAGAGGTTCTGGAGAAGTCCTGGAGACGAGCATGGGAGGAAGAGACAAGGGAGCTTGTGAGCTGGAGGTCTTAGGAGGAGCGGAGAGGACAGTTTGGGTGATATTTGGGGACAATAGTTGTGGATGGATTTGTATGTTAGTATTTTCAATTTTATTTGTTGGGTGATTGGAAGCCAGTGGAGGGATTTGTAGAGAAGGTGGCAGGGAGCTGAAGTTATATCAATGAGGAGAGATCTGAGAGATGATTGAGGGGATTAGTGTCAGGAAAACTTGTCAGAAGTGACTCTTGCTTATAGCAAAGGAATAAAGCAGCAGAGAGAAATTTGTTTGTTCATATTTAATGTCTGAGGTTTACAACTATCTTAAAGTGTTACTAAACCCTGGACCCTGCATTCACTATATCAGCTCTCCCCGGACCCTGCATTCATTAACACTACCCTGCATCACTATAATCAGCTCTCCCCGGACCCTGCATTCACTATATCCGCTCTCCCCGGACTCTGCATTCACTATATCCGCTCTCCCCGGACCCTGCATTCACTATATCTGGTCTCCCCGGGACCCTGCATTCACTATATCCGCTCTCCCCGGGACCCTGCATTCACTATATCCGGTTGCCCGGACCCTGCATTCACTATATCCGGTTTTCACTATATCCCCTCTCCCCGACCCTGCATTCACTATATCCGCTCTCCCCGACCCTGCATTTACTATATCTGCTCTCCCCGGACCCTGCATTCACTATATCCGCTCTCCCCTGACCCTGCATTTTACTATATCTGGTCTTTACTCCGGACCCTGCATTCACTATATCTGGTCTCCCCGGACCCTGACACTATATGCTCTCCCCGGATTTCACTATATCTGGTCTCCCCGGATTCACTCTGCATTCACTATATCTGGTGCATTCACTATTATCCGCTCTCCCCGGACCCTGGACCCCGGACCCTGCATTCACTATATCCGCTCTCCCCGGACCCTGCATTCACTATATCTGGTCTCCCCGGACCCTGCATTCACTATATCTCTCCCCGTCTCCCCGGACCCCGCATTCACTATATCCGGTCTCCCCCGGACCCATGCATTTCTCCCCGGACTATATCTGGTCTCCCCGGACCCTGGACTCTCCCCGGACCCTGCATTCACTATATCCGGTCTCCCCGGACCCTGCATTCACTATATCTGCTCTCCCCGGACCCTGCATTCACTATATCCGCTCTCCCCCTGAACCCTGCATTTTACTATATCCGCTCTCCCCGGACCCTGCATTCACTATATCCGCTCTCCCCGGACCCTGCATTCACTATATCCGCTCTCCCCGGACCCTGCATTCACTATATCCGCTCTCCCCGGACCCTGCATTCACTGTATCCGATCTTCCCGGACCCTGCATTCACTGTATCCGATCATCTTCTCCGACCCTGCATTCACTATATCTCTATCCCCTGGTCTCCCCCCTGCATTCACTATATCCGGTCTCCCTGGACCCTGCATTCACTACCCTATCACTATCCGGTTTCCCTGGACCCTACCCTGCATTTACTATATCCGGTCTCCCCGGACCCTGCATTCACCACTATATCCGGTTCCTCTCTCCCCGGACCCTGTACCCTGCATTCACTATATCTGGTTTCCCCGGACCCTGCATTCACTATATCCCCAGACCCTCTCCCCCGGACCCTGCATTCACTATATCCGCTCTCCCTGGACCCTGCATTCACTATATCCGCTCTCCCTGGACCCTGCATTCACTATATCTATATCCGCTCTCCCTGGACCCTGCATTCACTATATCTGGTCTCTCACAGTACACACAACATGAAAATGCAATTATTTACGTAAATATAAACTGCTAAATACCTTTTCTCCTCACACAAAGTTAGTGCAGTCTTGTGACTTCTATCTGTGTCCAGCCCACCACTAAAGCTTGTAGGAGGAGTTTTCTTTCTGCTCTAGGAGGATGCAGAACCCCTGACCTCTGTCTGGACAGTTCTGATTGGCCCTGTGCTGATCACATGCACTCTCCCAAGAAAAAAAAAAAACCCTCTCTAGCAATACACACCAAACTGAGCATGTGCATGCCTACAGCTCAGTCTGGAGATAATAGGTGGTCACATGAAAAAGGGGAGGAACAGAGAAGACAGGATCAAACAGCCTTTTCACACAATGCAGAGGATTAACCCCTTAGGGCCCACAGTGAGTATAACAAGCATGCTTTACTGCATCTACAGACTGATTGTACTGTTGTGGGTTTAGTAACACTTTAGGCTGCAAATATTTTACAGGCATGCATACGGTGTTCAGTGTTGCAATACCCCATAATAACCACTAGATGACATGAGTATACCTCTATGGAGAGCATGCCCAATTATAAGGCCTCTTGTACATCATACTGATGTTTGAGCATCAGAGTTTCTGGACGTAATTTCATGCATTTCTTTGCGTGTATTCACTCGTAAATATATTCCTGGCAAAATCCATTAATACCTATGCTAATATGCACGTATTTGTGCTCAACAGCGCAAATCACTGACTGGGAATACAAATTTTTTTTTTTTTTTTAATCAAGGATATGAAGTGCTTGTTCACGCACCTGTGTGTACAGGCACATTGTTAATAATGGGCTGCAATTTAGATCAGTAAAAAGTACTGTCGTGAGCTTTTTCAAGCTGCAGTGTGCAAGAGGCCTAAAGGGGATATTTGAGCAGTATCAGTGAGGGAAGTTGGTTGCTTGCAGTTGATTACAGAGGGAGATTGACTAATACTGGAGCGTGAAAAATCTGGCGCAGCTCTGCAATGAAACCAATCAGCTTCCAAGTTTTATTGTCAAAGCTTAACTGAGCAAACAGAAGTCAGGATCTGATTGGCTACCATGCGCAGCTGCACCAGATTCTGAGTGCTCCAGTTTTAGTAAATCAACCCCTTAAAGTTCTACTCTGGCCAAAACTCTTCATTTTGTTTTTTATATAGTGGGGAAAGGGTTCAAACATCTCTATTGTTTTTACTGCAATCCCCATTAAAGGTAGAGGTGAAGGACAGTCACTCCAATGGGAATAGAGACCACACTTATTTTTTAGTAGGCAGATATTTTAATCCTCTTCAGCGACTCCTAGTTCTCTCCTATCTTCTCCTGTTGTCACAAGGGTGTCATTGAGATGCACAGTATGGGGAGAGTTGAGTCACAGATCACAGTGAAATCATGGTAGCAGTATTTCGCTTTCTCCACTCTATCCAGAAACAATTGAGTACTGTCCGTGATACTTTTTTTATTTGCTCTAACATACAATTTTGAGGACAAGCTTTCGGGGAGTGTCCCCTTCTTCAAGGTCCAAGCAGTACTACTCACAAAGTTTTAGCAGAATGTTAGAAGAGATGTGGGGGATGAAAAAAAAAAAGAGAATAGAGATAAGAAGATAAAACACAGCAAAAGCAAAGAATGGGGGGGAGACAACACTCACAGAGGGAGTCATGCTTGAGGTGATAGTCATAAAACTGTTGGATAATGATGAGGAATCCCAGGTCCAAATTAAGGCCATTATCTCTTGTGTCAAATAGAATTATTATTCTTAGTTCAAAAGTTTTTCTTTCCTGGATGGATTTGAAATTTCCTTTAAGAACTAAAACATTGATTTCTCCCATTGTGTGGTCCGGTTTGTGCGAAATGGTGTCCCACAGGTGTGCAGAGGTCATCTTCTTTATGTTCCTTGATGGTATGTCTGTGCAGATTCATCCTTGTTTGCAACTTCTGTCCTGTTTCGCCAACATTTTGCACACCTGTGGGACACCATTTCGCACAACCAGACCACACTTTGGGAGACCTCAGTATATTTAGTTCTTAAAGGAATTTTCAAATCCATTCAGGAAAGAAAAACTTTTGAACTAAGAATGATAATTCTATTTGACTCAAGAGATAACGGCCTGAATTTGGACATGGGATTCCTCAATCATTATCCAACAGTTTTATGACTATCACCTCAAGCATGACTCCCTCTGTGAGTGTTGTCTCCCCCCCCCCCCCCCAATCTTTGCTTTTGCTGTGTTTTATCTTCTTATCTCTAGTCTTTTTTTTCTTTCATCCCCCACATCTCTTCTAACATTCTGCTAAAACTTTGTGAGTAGTACTGCTTGGACCTTGAAGAAGGGGACACTCCCTGAAAGCTTGTCCTCAAAATTGTATGTTAGTGCAAATAAAAAAAGTATCACGGACAGTACTCAATTGTTCCTGTCGCAAATGCACTAATACGGCTACAATTCCACCCAAAAATTAAAATATAAAATATGGCTGAAATTGGACATCAACATACCTAAATTTCTGATTGCTGTATGTACTGATTCTGCTTATGGATTATTTATGGACATGAAATTCACAGGTCCTGGAGACCATCAAATGGCTTTCAGACTTCTTCTACAAACTGCGTTTTTCCAAGTCAGACTTTCAGAGCTTTGGCTTACTGTCCAAGTGGAACCTGTACATGACGGAAATGAAGATCTTTCTAGAATATCTGGTTAAAAGTCTAATTGACTACGAGGTCCTCAGCATGAAACTGGAACCTATGGGAAGCCACACCGTCCAGACAGGTAAATACCAATTTCATTAGTGTTCCAGGCATTACTTGGCTTCCTGGTTTGTTGCTGTGATATAATTGGCTGTGATTTAACCACTTCCCGTCCGGCCCATGTACATAAACGGCCGGACGGGAGCAGTGCAGGAGCGGGTGGCTATTTATAAACGGCCTCCGCATTCACTGCTTGTGCGCGCTCCCTGGGAGCACGCAGCACCGCAAACACTGCTCGCTGTAGGACCCACAAGACACCACTCCCCTTCCGATGTAGAATGAGAATCCAATACAACTTGACCACTTCCTGTCCGGCCACTCTATATAAACGGCCGGATGGTGGCAGTGCAGGGGCGGGTTGCCGTTTATAAACAGCCGCCATTTTGGATTGTGCGCGCTCCTTGGGACACCGATCGCTGTACGGGACCTCTATGTGAGGTCCCGATCATGTGATCACTGATTGGCCAGTCAGTGATCACATGAATAGTAGTAAGCAAGATGTCACTTGCTGACATCATTGCTTACTACATGTGAAATCTGTGAATGATCACAGAGGTCATATGGTACAAGGCTATTCACAACAGGCTTGTACCATGTGACAAGCTGTGACCAATCACAGCTCTCACAGTAATTCTCAATGGCTGCAAGAATGCAGCCGGAGAGAAGGAGAAATGATTGCTTTTACAGCCTTTATGGGTGTAAAAGCAATCAGTGTAAAAAAAAAGAAAATCTTCATCACCCCCCACAAGTAGTACAGTGTCACTATAGTGACACTGTACTGCTAGGGTGACGGTATGTTAAATAATAAAAAAACCATAATAATATGAAAAACTAAAATAAAAATGTAAAAAATGTTTTGAAAAAATATAATTTTGGGTTATAGACTAATTTGGGTTTTTTTTTTTTACTAACAAAATAGATTAATACATTTTGGCCAAGGTTTATGAGGAAAGATTATTTATTTGCAAAATTTTATGAGAAAAAACACTTTTATTTCAAAATGTTTGGACTTTTTCATGTATATAGCAAATAAATAAAAATCCCAGTGGTGAATTAATACCACCAAAATAAAGTTTTATCTGTCTCAAAAAAAAATGCTAAAAAAATTCATATGGGTACAGTGTTGCATGACCGCGCAATTGTCATTCAAAGAGTGATGGCGCTGAAAGTAGAAAATTGGCCTGGACAGGAAGTGGGGGAAAGTGTGTGGACATGAAGTGGTTAACTAATAAGAGACAAGTCCTAGAGATATCATGCTGCTCTTTGGACTTAACTCACAGTGTGCCTTCACTTTTTACAAGGTGGCCGAATTCCTCAAATTCAGCTTTAAGATAAAGTCTTTGAAAGTGAGGAGAAGCTCTCCAATGACAACATGGGTCCTGACCCTACCATACTCTATAGTAACTGATCCCCATCTTCAAAAAGGGTCATCTTGGGTTGTCCACCATATAACAGACTTATGTCAGGTTAATGATCACCTATTCTTTAATAGCTCCTTAGCAAAATAAAGCAAACATTCTGTAGTGATAGCGCTGAAAGCTGAAAATTGGCGTGGGCAGGAAAGGGGTGAAAGTGACTTGAAGTTGTTAAGTCAATGAATGCCAGCTTAAAGCAAAGCTGTCATGAGAAATCATGCAAAAAATTAAACTGATACACAATTTGGTAAAGTAAGGTGCAGCACATGTGTTAAAGTAGTACTAAAGGGTAAGTCTAACCATTCTTCTATTCTTACCCCCCCCCCCCTTATTCTGCACACCCTGTGTAATAACAGATCTGTGTACTTTCCTATTTTTAACCCGCCCTATGGCCGAATGGCGGGCGGCAAATGTCATCAGCGTTATATGGCGTCCTCCCGCACATGCACAGCAGCGGCGCAATCTGTCACTGGCCGTGTACCTCGGACACAGGCGATGACAGATCTGAGTATCGGCC